TTCTGCACATTGGTAGAATGTAAGCTCTCTGAGGGCAAGAATCATCTCACTTCAGTCGTTGTATCCCCAGTGCTTGACACGTCCTTATTGTTGTTGTTGTTGGGTTGTTTCAGTTTTGTCCAGCCCCATTTGGGTTTTTCTTGGCAAAGGTCCTGGGGTGGTTTGCCATTTCCTTCTCCAGCTTGTTTTACAGATGGGGAAACTGAGACAAAGTGAAATGACTTGCCCAGGGTCACACAGCTAGTAAATGTCTGAGGCCAGATTTGAACTCAGGTATTCCTGACTCCAGACCTGGTACTCTATCCACTGTGCCACCTTGCTACCCACTTGGCACATAGTAGGGGCTTAATAAATCCTTGTTGATTGATTGATCGTGGGTCTGCCATCTGGATCTAAAAAAATAAGGCTACCTTCCACAGCACAGCCCCTCCAAAATGTGAGGCACCTAGGTAACCTGGTGAACAGAGTGCTGGTCTTGACATCCTCCCTCAGACACTCAATAGCTGTGTGACCCTGGTAAGTCACTTAACCTACCTGTCTCATCTATAAAATAGGAAAATAAATAGCACCTGCCTCCCCAAATTATTGTGAGGATCAAATGAGATATAAGCAAAGTACTTTGCAAACTTGTATAAATGGCTGCTATTTAACTTCATGGCAAAGAGCCGTAGGTGTGGAGAAAGAAAAAAAATTGACCACTGATTGGATATGAAGGATGAGAAAGAGTGAGACATGGAGGATGAAGGAAACATAAATAGACAATTAGAAAGCAATCTAAAAGGAAGGATCAGGAGTTGTATTTGAGATATGTTGAGTTTGAGATGGCTCTGGGATATCTAAGTGGAGATGTCTAGGAGGTGATGGGTGATGAAGGACTGGAAGTCAGGGAGAAACAAGAGATAAAGGGATAGGGAGAGAGAGAGAGAGAGAGAGAGAGAGAGAGAGACAGACAGACAGACAGACAGACAGAGACAGACAGAGAGAGAGAGAGATGGATGGATGGATGGATGGATGGATGGATGGATGGATGGATGGATGGATGGAAGGGTAGAAGAATAGATAGATAGATAGATAGATAGATAGATAGATAGATAGATAGATAGATAGATAGATAGATAGATAGATAGATAGAGGGAGCATTTATTAAGTGCTTACTATGTACTAGGCACTGTCATCTGAATAGGACAGTTGAATCTACGGAAACTGAGAAGGTCAAAGAGAGTGAGAGGGAGAGACAGTCTATATGTATAAATATGTGTATGTATATGTGTGCATGTGTATATAAATATATATATATGCATATTGTTATCTCCCTTGATAGACTTTAAGCTTCTTGAATGCAAAGCTTCCATTCTTGCTTTTATATCTCCAGAGCTTAGCAAATTGTGGGGTGCCTAATGTGTGCTTATTGTTTGGTTGAAAAGCCTGTTGCTGATGCAACCTCAAACGTCTGCAGTAGTTCAGAACAGGAAGTGCCGAGTGTCTTGACATCCCTCCTCTTCCCACAAACACTGGTTTGTGCCATCTGGGTAGAACACAACCTTGACTCTCATCTCACTTCCTTCAGTCCCCAGGAATCCTAGAACTAGAAGGACTAGAGACTTGCAGTTGACAGACTGTGCCTGATTTGGAATAGTGGGGTGCAGGGGATACAGGAGAATAGTCAGATGTAAATGTTGTTGTGTTGATTATTGTATTCTGTAGCCTACAGTTTTCCATATCCACAGATGGGGGAAGAAACCCAAGGAGTCAATGCCTTGTGACCCTAAAGTGAGGAAGCGGTTAGATCCATCATCATCATCATAGCTAACATTTATACAGCACCTACTCTGTGCCAGGTGCTGAACTAAGAACTTTTTTTTTACAAATATTAACTCACTTGGTCCTCACAACAAGCCTGTGAGATAGGAAACTGAGGCAGCTGGGCATTATGTGACCTGCCCAGGGTCACATAGCTGGTAAGTGTCTGAAGACAGATTTGAACTCAGGTCTTCCTGACTCTAGGCCCAGCACTCTGTCCACTGCACCACCAGCTGCCTCTGGAGAGCCCAGAGCTATTTTAAACTCAGCATGTCCAAACCAAATTCATCTTTCCCCATAACCTTCCCCTCTTCTTAACTTTGAAGGTGTTACCATCCTTTTAGCCGCTCAGCCTTATAGCCTAGGCATTATCTTGAACTCCTCATCCTCCCTCACCCTACCTATCCAATATTCCTACCTCCACAGCATTCCTCCCGTGCTGACCCATCTCTCCATTCACACAGTTACTACCTTAATTCAGGTCCTCATCATCCCTGCCTAAATCATTGCAACAGCCCCTCATGGGTCTTCCAGCCTCAAGACTCTCCCCACTCTGGTATATTCAACACTGTGCCACCAAACAAATTGTCCTTAGTGCACAGCTGACCACGTCACTCCCCTGCTAATCCAGTGCCAGTGGTTTCCTGGTGCCTCTGGGGGAAAAGATGAACTTTTCTGCTTAGATTTGAAAGTCCTGTATCACTGATGTTGCTTATATCAACCTATCTTTCCAGCTTCATTGAGAAGTACTTCCTCTCCCTCCTGCTGCAGCCTGGACAAGCTGGCCTTCCCTCTCCATCTCCCATCCTTCTTGCCTCTTCACTGGCCATCCCAAGTGTTCCAAATACATGCCTTCCTTACCGCCACCTCGTTGAGATGCCACCAGGCACCATCGCCTTGGCAAGATCTTTCCTGATTCCCCTCAAGCACGAGCACTTCTTCTTCACCAACTACCTTGTGTTTAACTACTTAGATGTATTTGCATTTATCCTCTTTATTTTTACACTGTATGTAATTTAGATGTGTTTGCTATCTCCCCCGTTAGAGTTTAAGCTCTTTTTAAGGAAGGATTGGTTTATTCCTTGTCCTTGTATCCTCAGAGCCTAGCACAGGGGCTGGCCCACAGTAGGCACTTAACAAATGCTTATTGTTTGACTTAGTGACTAAAGAAGCAGGAAGCTCTTAGCCAGCCACTTTGGCAACCGCCAGCCACTCTGTTATTCTCAAGACACAGATGGAGAGGAAAAGACGGAATGGCAAAAGGCAGCCCAGTGAAGATTCCTGAGCAAATGAGTAACATGGTCAGATTAAGGGAGGAGAAATATTTGATGGTTAAAATAATGTCACAATAGCTTAGGTATTTTAAAATGCCTTTACTCTGAAGAACAACTGGCAAACTCTTGAGCTTGACATAAAGGCCTGCATTTCCTGGATCCAGCCACCTTTCCAAATGTATTTCAGATCATTCCCCTTCATCCCTTATATTCCTGCCAACCTGGTTTAGTTGCTGTTCCAAAAACTCGGTATCCTCTTTCTCACCTCCATGCCTCGGCATAATGTGAGCCCCCTCCCTGGAATGCACAGACTGTTACGGACTCGCTAGCTCCCAGAGCATCACACTCTGACTTCTGTTTGCTTTTCCAGAAACTCCATATTATACCCCTTGATGAACTCTATGGTTCAGGTCAACTAGACAATTAGCTGCTGCTCAAAGCTAGCCTGCCATCTTTTCCTATCTCTATGCCTTTTCCCAGGCTGTCTAATAGGCCCTTCTTCACCTTTGCCTTATAGAATCTCCAGCTTCCTTCAAGGCCTAACTCAGATGCCACCTTCCGTAAAACCTACCCTTAATTCCCCCAATTTTTCATGTGCTTTCTGCCCTGAAATTACTTTGCACCTGTCTATCTGTGCATGTGATTTGCCCCCCAGCAAATGTTATGATCCTAGAGGTCATGGATTGTTCCATTTTTATAACATTTAAGTTGATCAAATTGAGTTGAGTTTAATTGAACTGAATCCCCTCTAGTCTATCTGTACTCAGAGAACCCTAGGGATGGTCGCTATGGTTCTTGTATACTGTTAGTTCATGTTCAGATTACAAATAGGCCACATACAGGTTTAACTATCTTCCAGTAACAAGCAAGATGTTTTTGGAAGGCTCAAAACTGTTTGGTTGGTAAAGCAGCAACAGTCAGGAGTGTTGGGCTCTCATCTCTGTCCTCTGCAACCCATTCACTATGTCAGCTTGGACAAGTCATGTAAACTCTTTGGACTTTAATGTCCCAGTCTATAAAATGGGGGTGAAGGGAAGGTGCATACTAAATTATTTCTCAGATTCTTTCCATGTGTAAACATCAAAGGGTTTCTAAATATTCTCTTTTCTGTGTTTCACAGTCACAATTTACACAAAACTTGGGGGCTGGGGAATTTCCACACCTGTAATCTCACTTGTGAAGGGAACCCTGAGATGTACACTTGTTCTACTAATGCAATCTGGAAACTCATTGGTGGCTACGGTTCTTGAGGAGTAGCTCCAAAGGATGGGTAGTGGGAGTTTCACTAGGCGTGAGTGGCTCTCAGGACTGTACCGTAATGTGTCCCCACTGTTGAACAAGAAATGTTTGACAGTCATTGTCTTAGAGACCTGCCAGTGTGATAAGAGGTTAAGTGACTTGACCAGGGTCAAGAAGGTAATGTTAGAGAGAGGCCTGAAACCTAGGCCTTAACTTACTTGAAGGCCTTTCTATCCACTCTACCATGCTAATTCTTGGGCTTAAACTATGGGCAGAAAAATTAGGTTTTCATTAAATCAGTCACACACAAAATATTCAGTGTGACTCATAATCATACCAATTTGCATTATGACACCAAGTTTATAGCTGGGGTTCTGAACCTTTTCTCTGTCTGGCAAAACCTATGAATCTCTTCTTAGAATAATTTTTTAAATATACAAAATAGAATACATAGAATTACAAAGGAAACCAATTACATCAAAATATAGTTATCAATATTTTCTCAAAACAAAATCACAGACTCTCAGGTTAAGAACCCCTGTCTTATAGTATTAAATTATAGCATCGAATTACTCTAAATATGGAATCTTATCAAAATATTTACATACTATCAAATTTCAGTGTACTATTGAAATATTGCTTGGAATAGCCCCCATTTAACATTTTAATGCTTATCATAATACACAGACCTTCAAGGACTTCATGTATTGCCTCAGACAGTTGACTGGTCATCATTCCCTCCCCAACAATATTTACTGACACTTGGGTTCAAAAACAAAGAAGATGGAAAATTTTTGGAAAAAATGTCAAGTAGGAAGCTGCCCACATTTACAGGTAGGTCAATAAGCATTGGGATTTTCTTCTAATATTGCTCTCACCTGTTCTTATCTACTCTCTTGATTGCCAACAATGAGATTTTCATTCCCTGCCACCCAACATGGCCCTGGACTTCCATTCCTTCTCCTATTTCACCACAGTGCCTCAAGACTGCATATTTTAGGAATTCAAGGTAATATCAATATGTATTTTGCAAAACAGCCTAGTGTATGTGATAGAGAGCTAGACTTTGAGTTAAAAAGTCCTGAGATGCCCTGTGACTAAGCAACCCTTGGCAGGACCTCATTTTCATCATCTGCAAAATGGGAATCAAAATAGTCCTGATCTTACAGGGTTGTTATGAGTGAAGTAAGAAGATGGTTGTCATGTATTTTTGTAAACTTTAAATCCCTATGTAAATGTCAGCCTTGATTATACATAGGATTGCAGATTTGGAGCTGGAAGGGACTGAGACATCTGTCTCTACTCAGAACAATGATGGTTAGTATTCTCATTGATGCTTTTTTTTAAATTAAATTAAATTAAAGAAGGGGCGAGGAATGTCATAGAACCAAAAAATAATAACCACTAGTATTATTATTATTTAGCACTCTATTTTTGCAAAGCACTTCACAAATATCATCTCACTTTATCTTCACAACCCTGGGAGGCGGGTGTTATTATCATCCCTATTTTACATATTAGGAAACCGAGGCAGACAGAGGTTAGTGACTTGCCCAGGGTCACACAGCTAATAATGTTGGAGGCAGGATTTGAATTCTGGTCTGCCTGATTCCAGACCCAGTGCTCTATCCACTACACCACCTGGCTGCCTATGGAGAATCTGGTCTTTAATCCTCCCTTTCCCTCTGGAATCTAGAGTTAGAATGAAGCTGGGAGGCCATCTAATCCAACTCCCTCATTTTTCAGATGAGGAAACTGAGGCCCAGACGAGGTGAAGTCTCTTGCCCACAGCTTTGCAGGTTGCAAGCAGCAAGGTCCTGGGATTCTAACCCAGGTCCTCTGCCTCAAGTTTTCTTGCCTCCTTTTCATGGTCCTCTGACTCATTGGCTTTTGGGTCCCAAAATGAATAAGCAAACAAATGAACCTGAAGGGACATTGGAAGTCATTAATTGGTATCTGCTCATTTAAATAACATCTGGGAAGAGCAAGACAAGCATTCGACGCATTTATGACAACCTTTTCCCAAAACTCCATGAAAGCCTATTCCATACCAAGATGGGACTTATTATATAGCTGTCTGTTAGATCTTTCAGTCGTGGCGGGGGAGCTAAAATGCATAGATGGCCGTTCTCCAAAGGACAGCATCTCCTCCAACTCTCCCACTGCGGTGCACAGGGAGCGGGAATGTGACTTGGTTTGCTAGTAAAGATTTCATGTCTATTAATATTAAGGTATTTTTTATAGCCTGGTAAAAAGGAAAGAAAGCACTTTGAAATTGAAGGGATAGAAAACAGCATAAAAGTTTATTGTTACAATTTTTAGAGCACAAAGCCCCCTTCAGCCCGCTGACCAGGGAAGATGCCGCGAGACACATGGAGACTATGGCGAAGAGGATCCTGCCAATATTGGATGTCATCCGAAGCACTAAATTAAATGTAGGTATATGAGTCGGCTCTCTCTGAGTCCAAACGCAAAACGAGTACAAACCCCTAGACAGAAGAAAGATGTATGGTGTGTTACGAGAATGGATTCCAGAAGCCTCTCTCTGCAAATCCCATTTATTAAACAAAGCCGGTTTTAGCTAATGATTTTATTTATTTTACAGTTTAAAAGATTACAACTGCTATGCTCCGCAGTTGCTCACATTTATTACATTAGCAGCAAGCTTAAGGAGCCCTTCATTTGGTGTTCTCCTCCGATCTAATCCCGGATTGCCATGAATTTCTCATTTCAAACCAATAACAAAATTTTAGCAAGCAAATGTTTTCACTATTTCATTTGTCGGTCTATTACAACCTAACCATCTCGTTACCTGCAGGAGGAATTAGATGATTTTTCGGGCCAATGCCTCCATACTGTCCTGATGAATTGGAAGTCCCTTTTAAAACTTGGCCATTTATCTTCATACATCCTGAAAGTAAATTATCTAATCCCGCTCTGTGACCGAGGGAAAAAGATGCTGGCTTTCTTTAGTGGCTGGTTTGCTTTTTGTTGTTTATGTTTTAGAGACTGTATGCTGTAACGGAGAGAGTGAGGAAGACCTGGGTTTGAATGCCACCTTGTTGGCTGTGTGACCTTCAGAAAATCACATCACTTCTCTGTAAAAGGATGGAGTCTAGCCTGATAACTTACAAAACCCCTGTGATTCTATGAAAATAGCCTGGACTGTTTAGCAGTTTCTAAATTGTTGCACTGAGAGAACATCAAAGAAATGTCTCATTAATGCACCCTAAGAGCAATCAATTTCCCCTCTTTCAAGAGTCTGAAGGTTGAAAGAGTCAGAATTTCTTTTCTTGGGGCTGTTGTGTTCAGTCACAGATTTTATGTTCTTGCTTTCTGAGGGAACTGACACCTTGCCCCTCATCTGTCTTTCAGAGTTGTCTTCATGAGTTTCCTTGACCAAAAAAAAAAAATCTCATCACCCGGTCACCAGGTCCTGAACATCTCCAAACTTGGAGAGGACCTGTGGCCACTCAGATGCGGGGCACCCTGGGTGTCACCAGGTCCAGATGCTGACTGCTTGGCTAATGGGCATTGGCAATATAGTTTTGAGAACACAGGATCACCTCTGTGCCACAGTGAAGCCAAAATTGGACTTTGAGAGTCACCCAAAAAATCCAACATCTGCTCATCTTCTGAATAGCATCTTTGGGCTTTTGAAAAAAGTCCTAAACCCTCTCGCTTTTGCATGTTAAGTTAAACAACTCAGGAATAGGGTGCTTTAAAAACCTAGTCCTCCCACCCAGTTTATCTGGTTCTCTTGTAGTGCTGTTCCCTCATCCAGTCTCATGAGCACTCCAAGACTCTCAGCTCCTTTTCTCAGTCACCCCCTACCCACATGTAAACTCTCTTAGGTGCAGCCAAATGGTCCTTCTCACTGTTCTTCATAAACAACACTTCATCTTCCATCTCTTCCTTTTGCACAAACTGCCCCTTATTTGTGAAATGGACTTCATCCTCACTTCTGCCTTTTAGATTTTCTTGTTTCACTAAAGGCTCAGCCCTAACACTACTTTCTTTCCTGCTCTTACTGCCTCCCCCCACATACACACACACACACAAAAAAAAAACCTTACGTTAATTCTGTGTATGTCATGTATATAGCTAACTAAGGGCACCCCATAGAATGGGAAATCCTTTAGGGAAGGAACTGTTCCATCCTTGTGTCTCCAACATTTAACACACTTTATAGTTGAGCAAACTGAGGCAGAGGTTAAGTGACTTGCCCAGGGTTACATGGCTATTAAGTATCTGAGGCCATATTTGAATTCAGGTCTTTCTGACCACAGGACCAGTGCTCTATCCACTGCATCACTAGCTGCCAGAAGACATTTTGACTTTTTTAAAATGGTGCCATGCACCACTGTGCAGTCAAATAAGAAACACAGATATAATATAATTGACAGGGTCTTTAGTTTCACCTTGATACCCCGGCAGACTGATTCTCAGTCATGCTTTGCTGACCCAGTGTATAATTCCATTATCTCCTGCAATTTTGCTTACATGAGAAACAGTTTCTGAAGGACTCCATAGGATCATGAATTCAGGGGTGGAAGGTGCCACAAAAACCATGTAGTCTAACTTATTTTACAAACAAGGAAACTGAAGTCCAAGGAGATGATGACTTGCCCAAGGTCACATAGCTAGTAAGAGTCAGAGTTGAGACTTGAACCCAGGACCCTTAAGCATATGTGTGATTCTTTAACACTGATATTTCTACCACCAGTACAGCTTATAACCCCTACTTAGAGCTTTCTCATCTTATAGGATTCTAGTCCATGACATTGGAGACCTTCCTCCCAAGGTCTTCCTAGATATCCTGGGCTCCAGGGCGGTTTCTAGTCAGTCATTCCATCTGTTATCTTCTTTTCCCAGTTATACATTCATTTGCTGATTTTGTTTGCTCCCCTTCTTGTGTTTAGGTCATAGGTCATTACTAGTAATATGCTGAATCCTACTTGTGCTCACCATGAGTTAACATAATAAAGTGTTTTGTATACCTTAAAGTGCTGTAGAAATATTAGTTATTATTATTATTATTAGTCTCTCTACTGCCCTCTGGGTCCCATGTAACTTTGAATCTTTGTTATGTTTCAGGATTCATAACCACACAAAATTCAGCAGGAGAACATTCCTACTTTAAAAATGAGGTTTTTCACCAGGGCGTAGTTTGAAACTGCTACATAATTTACCCAGTGCAGTTGAGCATTCCTTCATCCTCCCATTCAATTTTGGGCCCAACTCACTGTCCCTCTTCTGTAGCTATCCAAGGAATATGTACCAGTTTACCACTTTGTTGGACTGGCCATCCATCTTCATATCAAAATTTGACCAATAAACATTATTTATCTATTTAGTTTTTCCTGTATAGATAGTTAGACCAATTTCTTTTGAGTAATCACAGATCTCTTTGAGAAGATCCAGCAATGTACTGGGACTTGATGCAATCATTATGATACCATGGGTGACCATGAACATCTGGAGAACCCCAGCTATTCCTGTAGGGAATCTCTCTTCCACTTGAACATTACACATGGCGTACTCCATGACAGTGGCAAATGCCTCTGGTGAACATACATCTCTCTTTTAAACCCTGCTTGACATAAATAATCAGAAGGTCATTGAACAGAGTTGCCTCTGTGCTTACATTCATCCAGGAATTTTGTGTCACCTCAATACATGTATTTGAAAATTTCCTTGTTGGAGGAAAGCCAATAAGACAGTATTTTACCCTATTGAGTCATGTTTGTTTGTTTTTTTAATCAAGAAATAGTGGACACTGAAAGGTTTTGTGCCTTTCAGCTAGTTATATGACTATAGAATATTATTCACAAAAACCTCTCTCTCCCTTCCTCTTACTTTCACCAATACCCTTATTATGTGTTTAGATCATTCTTTTTTTCTTCTAAAGTCTGAGTATACCTATCTCACTGAGGTGAAAAGGGCAAGGCTATTCATGGACTCAGTTCCACTCTGATCATCATGGGAGCTTTGACTGCCTCATTTCCTACCTAAGAAAATTCACCTCTCCTTAGGAAAGCTGGTGGCCCCCTGTTTGTGGAGGGCATAGATCTAAGCCCACTGACCCACAAAAGGATTGAAGCCATGACCTGAGCCTCATTAGCTATAGGATGTAATTGCCTGAACTAACCAGCCCATATGGTCAGAGAGCCAAGTAGCCAGCCAATTGACTAAATGAATGACCAAAGCCCTCAGCAGCCTTTTTATGCAGACTCTTAGACATCCTGCCACCTTGAGGCCAAGTGTTTGACTTATTCTTTAATTTTTTTTTCCTTGCAAGAAGGTAATAAATTGCCCTTAGACATTTGCATTTGCTGCCAGTGCCTCTAAACCTCAAGAATGCAGTACACTGAATGCAGTATACAGAGAGAACTACCCAGAACTTATACCTCTTCATTTTGGTGATATTCCTTGGTGGGAATGCCTAAAGAGTATTGAAATAGAATTAATTAAAATTTGAGCATCAATCATGGGACCAGACACAAGGCAGAGACAGTGCTCTGGTTAATACAATAACTGGCTTCAGTTATACATATTTTATAGGCATTATTATTTTGATATTAAGTGATGCAAATGAAGATAAACACATAACTATCTAAATGAAATGACCCTCCTAATCCATACTATAGTCACCCCAAAGATCTAATCAACTTGCTGGAAACCTGTCATTATAAATATTAAGTTTGCGATATATCTACAGCCTTTCCTTATTTGAAAGAAAGTCAAGTTTGGGCTACATAAAGCCATCATCTAATAGGAAATATTTTAAATTGACTGCTCCTGCTTTCAATTTTCTTCTCTCCAATAAACCCACTCATTTCTCGGTCCTTCCTCTATCAATTATATGGGAATAGACATTATTGCAATGTGATTTCCAACAGAGGAGTATAAAATACAAGTTGAGCACTGTGTTCCATCAAAGGCTGGCAAATGACTTTGGCTCCAAGAAGTTTTCCAAAACAGCTCAACCACACCCTGCCTCTCTTGGAGCCTAACGCCATCATGGCAGAAAGGTGACCATTCAAACATCGTTACAGGGTAACAAAGGTTTAACTGAACGTAAAAATCTGGAAGGAACAGATCTAGGGCCTGGCTGCATGTCTAAGGCCCCAGAACCGGCCCAGCTAAGTTTGAAGAGGTTCATACTATGTTAATTGAAGGAGGATTGTTGTGTTTTCTTGCTGGGGGGAGGGAGCACAGCAATTCTCAAAAGACCATACACTAAGTCTGAGAGGATCTGAGATCTTCACCGAGCTGTTTCCTCCACCAAAATCCCCTTCTGGCCCCTCACTGGAGGGTGAGTGACTGGGTATGTAAAGGCTACATCAGGCAAGTTTAAGCTCTGGAAAGTCATGGAAAGCCTCAAGTATAGCCCTGTATAGTATAGACTGACAGAGAGGTGATGGATTCAGCA